TCACTGTTTGCAGGGCACAGAGGGTCAGCAGATCTATTATTTAAAATACAAGCATTTTTAGAAAATGCTAAAAACAATTCAATTACTCTAAAATAATCTATATACAGTATATCTCCCATCCTGAGACTTTTTAAACAGTCCATATTCTCCCAAAGACGGCACATAATATGTAAAAAATCAATTACAGAGTGCCTGGGTGGCTCAAGTTGGTTGAGTGCCCGGCTCCTGATTTCAGCTCAGGTTATGATCTCAGGGTCGTGGGATGGAGCCCTGCGTGGGGGTCCACACTCAGTGGGGAGTTTGATTCTCTTGCTCTCCTTCTGCCCCTCCCCCCCTGCACTTTCAAATAAATGAATCTCTAAAAAAAAATCAACTATGTATGAATATCTCAATTTTATTTAAGATTCTCTGGGTGCAAGTTGTAGAAACCAACTCTAGCCAGAGAAAAAGAGGTCTATATCAAAGGGACATGGGGGGATCTCCCCATTGCAGCTGGGTTTCAGGAGGGGGAGGAAATAGAAACCCAGAACACCCCGGACCCCTCTCCAGCTCCCATTTCCACTCCTCTTTCTGCACATCAGCATGCTCTAGTTCTCAGATCTGTATGCTGGGGTACGGCTGCCCCACAGTCCCTGGGGTCACATTTCGGGTGTGTCCACTCTCAGGGACTACCTTGCTCTTCCCACCACAATCCTAACAATCCCCGAAGAGAATCGGATTGGCCCAACTCAGGTGAGTCATCCATCCTTGGTTCATTCAACTGGCTACAGAGGTGGAAATCAGGTAGTCATGGCTTCTAGAAGCCCACCCTCTGGATGGGGGCAGGTCGCAGAGAAGCAAGGACCTTGTGAGACAGGAGACTCCAAGTTAATCACCTTATAAGTATTAGAATAAGGCCAGTGCCCGAGAGCATCTGGGAAGGCACTTCCTGCGTGGGGCAGAAGAGGGGGGAGGTCAAGAACTCTGAAGCCTAAGGAAGTTTTCACAGTATTCTGCTTATGACATATTTCTAGGGAGTGTCTGTAGATTTCATCAATATTGAAGGGGTTTATAAACTTCCCCATTACCAACAGCACACACACACACACATACACTCTCTCACATACACACCATCAAGCAACTGCTTTTTTATAATACACACCATCCTATTAACATGAGCTCAACAATCCAAATCATTTAGGTATGAGGTTGTATGGTTAGAGAGAGATGTCTGAGTTAACAAAGTGAGGCTAATGAAAAACAGAGAAGCTGTGAATCATAATGAACAGTCATGAATCGAGCCCTAAGTACATTGTACTTCATAAGATGTTATCACTTAAACAAGATTAAACTAAGAAAAAAAACCCAAACAAACAAACAAACAAAACCCTGCTAAACTTAGAGAAAGACCTTTGTAAAAATTTTTATTTTTTACAGTTTGGGAAAAAATGTCCTTTCCCATATAGGTTGGTTTATTGACACATTTTAAAATATGCTTCTTGATTCTGTTACCATAAAATTATATAAGGAGAAAAAAATGTGAAAAGGGCTGCTAGGATTGAGGATGAGGGTTTGCAGTAAAGCTAATATTTCATATAATTTCTTGGTCTTTTACCTTGAACACTAGTAAAGTGTTACATGACCTCAGTGATTCTAAATTTCATAAGGAGTGTCCATTTCTCTGCCTATTCTGTTTCCTTAAGTTACATGCATTGCGGGGTGCCTGGGTAGCTCAGTTGTTAAGCATCTGCCTTTGGCTCAGGTCATGATCCAAGGGTCCTGGGATCGAGCCCCACATCGAGCTCCCTGCTCCGCGGGAAGCCTGCTTCTCCTTCTCCCACTCCCCCTGCTTGTGTTCCCTCTCTCGCTATGTCTCTGTCAAATAAATAAGCAAAATCTTAAAAAAAAAAAAAAGTTATTTGCATTGCCTTTTACTTTAAAAAGTTACTTATTATTTTTAATTTTATTTTTAAAAACTATTTTTAAATTTTAATTAATTACATTTTAAAAAGATTTTATTTTTAAGTAATCTCCACATCCAATGTGGGGCTCGAACTCATGACCCTGAGGTCAAGATTCGCATGCTCCACCGAGACAGCTGGGAGCCCCTTTAATTTTTAAAATTATACAACACATGCTAGTTGTAAAAGATTCTTGCAATCTGTAAGTAAAACAGGTATATTCTTTTACACTTTCCTTTCTAAAGGTAGCTACTTTACCAATCTAGTTTATGTTCTTTTCTATAAAGTTATACACATTTGTGAACAAAGATCTGTAATGTCACTTGTAAACAATTTTTTCCCAAGAGCCATCCAGAGTATTTTCATGCCTTAGCGTAACTGTCAATTGCCCAAAACCATGTTATTACTTGTTTTTACTCGTCTCATTTACTTTTCCGTACACAGATATAACTTTTCAACAATGTAGTCAATCCCCCAATTTTTATGTCGTTCTTCAAAAACATCAACCTTCTCAAGGCAATGAATGTTGCATATTGAACCTATAACAAGAAGAAAGGGAAACAAGTGAAAATGTTAATGAAGAATGCAATCGAGGGGCACCGGAGTGGCTCCGTTGGTTGAGCATCCGATTCTTGATCTTGGCTCAGGTCATGATCTCAGCCCCGTGTCGGGCTCCACACTCAGCATGGAGTCTGCTTCTTCCTCTTCCTCTGTTCCTCCCCCTGCTTGTACTCTCTCTCAAATAAATACATAAAATCTTAAAAAGAATGCAATCGGGGTTCTTCTACAAACTCATCAAATCATTTTATAAAAGCAGTGTTACTGAAGATTTTTTTTTTAAGTTTTATTTATTTAAGTAATCTCTATACCCAACATAAGGCTCGAACTCATGACCCTGAGATCAAGCATCAGATGCTCTTCCAACTGAGCCAGCCAGGTGCCCCTCTTTTTTTTTTTTTTTTTAAGAACTTATTTTTTAAGGTTTTATTTATTTGACAGAGAGAGTGAGCAAGTGAGCGAGAGAGAACACATGAGCGTGGGAGGGCAGAGGGAGAGGGAGAAGAAGACTCCCTGTTGAGTGGGGAGCCCATGTGCAAAGGGCTCCATCCCAGGACCCTGGGATCACGACCTGAGTCGAAGGCAGATGCTTAACCGACTGAGCCACTCAGGCACCTCCCCTTCTTTTGTTTTTAATGAAAATGGGGAAATGCTAAGGGCAAAGTGTCTGAACTCTGAATTGCTATTCCCACTGATAACTCCTAAGACCTAAATTAAACATACCATCTCTCTGGAAGAATTCAAATGCCTCTCATACACCACACCACTTAGCTAAAAAGACATATGACAGAGATCGGTCCCTTTTCTAGGATAAAACAGTCTTCAATAAAAGGGTTTCTGACTTTCAGATTTTATAGACTTCTAGACACGAATAGTTGGTAACAGCTTAAACAGTTAATTGTTGACTTTATTTAAAATATAAACAACTTACCGAATAATTTTTTAATTTCAGCATCTGGAATGTAAAATGGTGGGCCTAGGTAAAAGAGAAACAGGGTGAAGAATAATTTCTATAGATCTAATTCTGAAGAGAAATTCTCAGCTGATTTCCAGGGACTTCGGTAGAGTTATTCCATACACAACATCATTATCAGATTGGTGAGGTGACAGGTTCCTCTGCTTCTTCTTTTGCACGTGTCATACCAAAGAAGGAGACTGGCTTACTGAGGGGATGCCAATGTTGGGTGCCCATCTCCAGCTTAGATGAGACGGATGGGCCAGCCATGGGACTTGGGACCTTTCATTTCTTTTTTCCTTTCTCGAGTTTGTATTTAAGTTCCAGTTAGTAAACATACAGTGTAATATTAGTTTCAGGTGAAGAATTCAGTGATTCATCACTTACATACAACACCCAGTGCTCATCACAGGGGCCCCCTTAATCCCCATCGCCCATTTAGCCCAACCCCCCACCTCCTCCCCTCTGGTCACCATCAGTGTGTTCTCTACAGTTAAGAGTCTGTTTCTTGGTTTGTCTGTCTTTTTTTTTTTTGCCCCATATGTTCATCTATTTTGTTTCTTAAATTCCACATATGAGTGAAATCGTGCGGTATTTGTCTTTCTCTGACTGACTTATTTTGCTTAGCATAATATACTCTAGCTTCATGAACATTGTTGCAAATGGCTAGATTTCACTTTTTTATGGCTGAGTAATATTCCATTGTATATGTGTGTGTGTGTATACACATACATACACCACATCTTCTTTATCCATTTATCAGTTGATGGGATTTGAGTTCTTTCCATAATTTGGTTATTGTAAACAATGCTGCAATAAACATTGGGGTGCATGTATCCCTTTGAATCAGTATTTTTGTATCCTTTGGGTACATTCCTAGTACTACAGTTGCTGGATCGCAGGGTAGTTCTATTTTTAACTTTTTGAGGCACCTTCATACTGTTTTCCAGAGTGGCTGCACCAGCTTGCATTCCCACCAACAGTGTAAGAGGGTTCCCCTTTCTCCGCATCCTCGCCAACACCTGTTGTTTCCTATGTTGTTCATTTTAGCCATTCTGGCAGGTGTGAGGTGATATTTCATTGTGGTTTTGATTTGCATTTCCCTAATGATAAGTGATGCTGAACATCTTTTCATGTGTCTGTTGATCATCTGTATGTCTTCTTTGGAAAAATGTTTATTCATGTCTTCTGCCCATTTTTTAACTGGATTATTTATTTTTGGGGTGTTCAGTTTTGTAAATTATAAATTTTGGATACTAGCCCTTTATCAGATATGTCATTTGCAAATATCTTCTCCCATTCCAAAGGTTGCCTTTTAGTTTTGTTGTTTCCTTTGCTGTGCAGAAGCTTTTTATCTTGATGAAGTCCCAATAGTTCATTTTTGCTTTTGTTTCCCTGCCTCAGGGGACATATCTAGTAAGAAGTTGCTACGGTCAATGTCAAAGAATTTACTGTCTGTGTTCTCTTCTAGGATTTTTATGGTTTCAGTTCTCACATATAGATCTTTTATCCATTTTGAATTTATTTTTGTGTATGGTGTAAGAAAGTGGTCTAGTTTCATTCTTTTGCATGTTGCTGTCCAGTTTTCGGAACTTGGGAATTTTAAAATCAGAATGAAGTTCATTAACAAATTCCTTGGCATTTCCTTCATCTTCTGGAGTATCGATTTCCCATGACTCCTGCACTCACTCTCTATACATCCCTCCCACTTTGCTGCAGGCCATTTACTTTAAAGGAAATTTAGCTTCTGCTCCTTTCAAGAAGTATTCTGAATTCCAGCCCCAGGCAGAGCCTGTTGTATTTTCTGCCCACAAGCCCTGCCTTAAGCTTCCTGTGCAGGAATGGAATTTAAATCAGATTAGCAGAGCTGAGGTCTGTCTCCATTAATTTCTAGTTCCATCTGATTGTTCCAGACTTAATTATGGACACTAGGTCTCATCTTTTAATGAGATTTTAAGATCTGATTTACTCAAACAGGAAAAAAACTAGCATATGTAATTATTTATAAAACGCCATACTTAAAAAAAAAACTCTGTTAAAAATCAAAAAGGGGATTATTTTACAATAAAAGTCTATATATTTGGTTTTCACTTCTTCCTGAAAATAAAAGTTCAGTCATGGACAAGGTTAAGCTTACAATGTTCAAGCACATCGAAAGGAGTCCAGAAGAAAACAACGCTTTGATAAGTTCAAAACAAAGATCATTCTTAAAGAATGCAATAAATTGTAAAATTTCAGAAATTAAAAAGCCATAATAGTTTAGAGATATTTCAGCACACCTCCTATTGCCCCACATCCACGTGTCACCCATCGTCCTATGAGGGTGTGTCTGTGTGCGTATTTGTAGGCATGCACCTAACACATCCCCACCAGCATGGATGAAGCGTATATGCTATATTCAAAGCAGGGCAACCAGCCTCTCTTCCTCCTACTCCAGAGCTCATGAGACTTCTCTTTTATATTAGGGCCATCCATGTCTCCCTCTCTTCTGTAGTCTGAGCTGTGAACGGTGAACGAAATGGAAGACAAGAAAAACGCGTATCAAGTCGGAAGAAGAAAAAAAGGTTTATAGTTTCCATTTACCCAAACCAGACTTTTCTTCCTATATAAAAAAGCAGTATTCTTCCCTTGATCTAAATTAGGAGCAGATAATACTATCCGTGTCATAGAATTAAATCAGGAAATGAGGCAACATCTTAAAAAAAGAAAAACAAAAGAAACTTTACCTGCGTGTTTAGTGGGATCATAAGAAAGAACAGCCAAGAGGTACTGAAACCCTTTTCGAGTTAGGGACAGCATTATATCTGCATACCTGAAAAGAACACAACAGAGTAAGGTGTTAGAATTCTCCACAAAGGCAAAGCCTGCAGGAGGGAGAGAGGCAGGGACGGAAACCAGGCTCACTGTCCTCTACATTACTGAGTTTAATTCTTTCTTTCTTTGAGAGAGAGTGCACAAGCAGGGAGGGGAGGCAGAGAAAGAAGCAGACTCCCTGCTGAGCCTGGAGCCCAATGCGGGACTCGATCCCAGGACACTGGGATAATGACCCCAGCTGAAGGCAGATGCTTAACTGACTGAGCCACCCAGGCGCCCTGAGTTTAATTCTTGAATTGACCCCCTGAAGTTGATTTGCATTCTAAATGTCGGACAGTTGGCAAATTCCGTCACCTGTCTAAGCTGGGAAATAGTAAAGATAGGAATCAAAAGGGGGTGGGCTTCCAGAGCCCATCAGACAGGAAGATGTCACATTAAGCCGAGCAGAGGCTCCCTCCAGCCTGTTGCGGGACTTTGAACACACACATCCCAAAGCACTCCAGCTCTGGGGCAGCACTTCCTGGACCAGGCTGGGTATCAATCACCTGAGCACTTGCTGAAAAAAAGATGCTTGAGCTCCATTCTCAGAGCCCGATTCGGCAGGTTTGCTGTAGGGCCTGGGATGCTGCAGTTTAACAATATCCTGGGAGTCTGCTTGGGATTCTCTTTCCCTCTGCCACTCCCCACCCTGCCCCCCGCCAATAAATAGATAAATCTTAAAAAAAAAAGGCAAAAATTCAAGAGAGTATGAAATCAAAGCTCTGCAAGTACCGCATAAACCACGAGTGCTGTTGGCACAGTCCTTTGTGTGGGTGTGGCGGGGTGCAGGTGAGACCACGTCCTGTGTGCCTGATTGGTTCAGAATGGGGGGCACTGCCTGGGGCGGTGCCCATCAGCACAGTGACCCGGAGCGGGAGCTCAGCCCAGTACAGAATGCTGAGCTGTGCTGGGAAACGGAATCGAGAGACCCAGAAAGGAGGTGCTGCTTAGGGGTCGTCACTGTGCTGGAACTGGAGCTTTAGTGGGGTGTGTGGGTTGGCACTGGGAGTTGTGAGAAGTCAGACACGCGGGAGCAGAGATGCAGGAGGCAGAGGAAGCCGAATGGGCAGGGTAGGAGGACAGAGGAGACGGGCACAGGGACGTAGAGATGCCGTGAGGGACAGGCAGACAGAGACGGACAGACTGCCCAGCTCTGAGGGAGCCACCTTGGCTCTTGGCACACGGATTTCACCTGGCCTTGGATGTACTGTGATCCCGGTCCAGGGCTCTGTGAGAAACTGGCGGGGGGGGGCCACGGGGGGGTTAGCATGGGGGTTAGGAGTATGCACTCTGCCAGATGCCGGAACTCAAAGCCCAGCCTTTTCACGTAGTGGCTACGTAAGCTTGGACCATTCTTAACCTCTGCGTGCCTCAGTTTCCTCATCTGTAAAACAGGGACAAGACTAGTAACCAACTCACAGGTTGTGGTGCATATTCAATGAGTTTACACACATGAAGTGCTTAGAGCATTGCTTGGTATGAGGTAAGCGCCTGGGTTAGTTTGTGTTATTCTCTTTAGCAGACTCCCCAGCTAGGGCTGGCTTGAGGGGGTCACACGTCCTTGCAAGAAAAAGTGCTGGACCAAAGCAAACTTTTGAACAAAAAACCCTGGGGCGCCCGGGTGGCTCAGTCGGTGAAGCATCTGCCTTCGGCTCAGGTCATGATCCCAGAGTCCTGGGATCGAGCCCCGGCATCAGGCTCCCTGCTCGGCGGGGAGCCTGCTTCTCCCTCTGCCCTTGCCCCTCCCTCTGCTCATGAGCAGGTAATAAATAAATAAAATCTTAAAAAACAACAACCTTAATTTTCTGATTGTTGGTCTTAAGAAGAAGGAAGAAGCGGGGTGCCGGGGTGGCTCAGTCTGTTAAGCAAATGACTCTTGATTTCGGCTTAGGTCATCATCTCAGGGTGGTGAGATTGAACTCCATGTTGGTCTCCCCACTCGGTGGGGGGGGGGGGGCTCTACTTAAGATTCTCGCTCTCTCTCCCTGTTCACACTGTCTCTCAAAATAAATAAATCTTTTTTTTTTTAAGACTTTATTTATTATTTGACAGAGAGAGACACAGAGGGAACACAAGCAGGGGGAGTGGGAGAGGGAGAAGCAGGCTTCCCGCCGAGCAGGGAGCCCAATGCGGGACTCGATCCCAGGACCCTGGGATCATGACCTGAGCCGAAGGCAGACGCTTAACCAACTGAGCCATCCAGGCGCCCTAAATAAATAAATCTTAAAAAAAAAGAAGAAGAAGAAGGAAGAAGTCACTTGCCGTCCCCATGAAGGTGATCAGTCAGACTGGTTTGGCAGGGTTTCCTAGGACTGACACATTTCATTCCCTTTGGAATGTGGACTTTCTCAACCACTTTCAAAAAATTCAGAAAAATGAGAGAGGTTTGCCCCACTGATTTATGTTAAGCCAGGCATCTGAGGAGCCCAGCAAGCAAACACGTCAGGACTTGCCTACGTGCAATCAAAGCAGAAAAGATGCCCAGTGTTAATGACAGGAATGAGATAAAGTTCGAACATGTTAAGAACCAGGACGAAGATAAAGAAATGCATTTTTCTAGGCTTGAAGTAAGTAGTTATTCTGGTAACAAAGGTCAACATGTTCTCAGGTGTGCTTGGGGCTGTGCTCACACACGCATGCACACACAGACATGTGCACACAGAGACTTGCACACGCACACACACACAGACGCGTGCACATAGAGACTTGCACACGCACACACACACGTGGCTGGGCTGTGAGGAAAGAGAGAGGGGGATCCAGGGAGGACTCAGAGCCTGTGGCTAAGCTAGAACTGGATGCCCTAAACAAGACTTCTAGATGGGGTCTCACTCCTCATTGGTAACCATGAAACAGCAGACCAGAGGCCACTCAGATGGCCTTTATATCTGGGACAGAGGAGGTGGTAATGGCTGGTCAGAAACAGTGGGTTTCCTTTGCTCTGAGTCTACTTTGCTTTCATTCGTTTATTTGACAGGTATTTGTTAAGCTCCTACTATGTGCTAGACATATACTCTACCAGCTAGTGGGGAAATAGCACAGTGTGCCTGGTCTGCCCTCGTGGTGAGCTCTGTGACTTCCAGTTTGCTCCCCACTTGGGGATTTGAGCCACACAGATCAAAGCCCCTGCAAGGACTAGCCTCAAAGAAGAGGATGAACATCATCAGGGAGACCTCCAGCAGATGCGGGTTTAGCAGACATCCGTGCTGTATTATGGAAACAAAGAGGCCGCACGGGATAATGTGAGTTGCTAAAGGACACTGAGGTCACACAAGAAATGCAAAGCAGACACTGAAACATGATGTGGACGTCTGGGTCTGGGAGGAAGAGCAGAACTGGAAATGTAACAATGAGAAAGGCAGGTACGAGGCATGATTTGTTCTGTTATTTCCCCCAACATGTGGCACAGTGTGTATTTAGAACATGGCTGGAACCTACTACGCGTTCGTTGAATGACTGAATTAAAGTAGCAGACTTGAAGGGCTCAGTAAAGAAGCAAGGGCAAGAGACAGGCAAGCACAAGCAAAGCTGAGGATGGTCCCTTAGGGAATGATGACTTCTAGGCGTGTGAGGAAGGGGACTTGCCTACGCGCAATCAAAGCAGAAAGGAAGGGCTTGAGGAGCTGTGGTATTGTGGAGGAGGTAAAGAAGGAGGAGTGGCAACAGAAAGAAAAAGGAACACAGGAGTGTGAATTATCACTGAAGGAAAATGTATATTAAGAAAATGTGTGGGGCTCTTGGGTGGCTCAGTCAGTTAAGCATTTGACTCTTGATCTCAGCTCAGGTCTCGATTTCAGCGTCGTGAGTTCAAGCCCTGTGTTGGGCTCCAGGCTGGGGAGCCCGCTCCACCTCCGCTTTTTACCCGGTAGCTGTTTGGGGCACTTGCCATGTGTCAGGTGTGAAACACTCTATCAACACCTTTAACCCACCAAACAACCCTGTGGGGCATATGCCACCATCATTCCCATTTTGCAGATGAAGAACCATGGAGGGTGGAGCCCAAGGCAGGGCTTGAGTTATGGTCAAAGAGATCAGGTGTTTGACCGCAGTCAGAATTCAGACTCAGACCCACGGAGTTTGGTCAAAGCCCAAGCTCATGATCCCTCCATTATTGTCCCTGCAGGAGTTGTGGGGATTAAAGGAAAGGACGTATGTGGAAAGCACCTGGCTACTCTCCGTAACTGTCTGAATATTAGCTACCATTATGTCAGAGCTTTGGTTAGTGATGTTTTTGACCATTCTT